TGTCTTGCAGCTGGGCGGGGTCTGTGGCTGGGTCGAGGTGCTCACGGGCCCACGAATGCCAGGCTGCTCCCTGGAGGGTGGTGGCTTGGCTAGTGTTTACCGCTTCCCACACCCGTACCAGGTCCCCCACCGTGCATAGTTTCCTGCATGGTGTCAGTGCTGCGTGGTATGCTTCCAGGCCTGGTCGACGGCTGGGGCCCTCGGTGCTTGCAGCATTGGTCGCGTTGGGCAGCAGTGGGTTGCCCCACAGCGCCCAGCACCAATCACCGGGTTCCAGTGGGGTTCTGCCAATGTCCTCCAAAGGCGGCAAGTGACCCAGTGCCCCCACGATCCGACTGATGTCTGCGGGAAGGTCGCTGCTGCCGAGCCACGGTCCCATGGCCCGGGCGGTTGTCAGAGCCCAAGGCTGGAGTGCAGGGTGGGTTAGCTCCAGGTAGGCGGACAGCGTGCGTACCCAGGGGTGTAGGCCCCGGGCCTCACTGTTGGTTGCCGCTGCCACCTCGTCTCCGCCTGCTCCCCCAGTTACTTCCCCTCCCGCACCCCTAACTTCACAACCTGCCGCCGGTAGTGCCTGTGCAATGAATCGCACGGCCCAGACTGCGTGGCGAGCGTGGATGTGCTGTCGGAGCGGCAGCAGGCCGAAACCCCCGGTTGACGGATGGCCTACTAAAAGGCTGCTGGGTACACCTGTGAGACGCTGGCCTGGGTCTTCTGGGCCCTGTTGTCGGTCGACCAGGCGGGCCGTCAGCCGCTCGATGTGGTCCAGAGTGCTGTCTGGAGGGGGTCCGCCATGTTCCATGTGCCAGGTGACCGTCTGCAGGCCGTAGGCGGACGTGGCGGTGGCCCTGCCGAAGGCTGACAGTGGGAAGCGGGCGAGCCGCTGCATCCGCTTGTAGGCGCCTGCCAGCATCTTGGGCCATTCGGGTTGCGGGGGTGTGGGCCGGTTGTCTACCGGCAAGTTCAGGGCTGTGGCGGTGGTGACCACTTTCAGTCCACCAATTGTCTCCTGCTGCGGCTGTTGGTGTAGTGGCTGCTGCAGCTGCTGCATACCCGCCGGTTGTGGCTGCTGCTGTTGTTGCTGGTTCTCAGCACCCACCCTCAACAGCTCCACCTTTTCCACATTGAGGCGCTGGCCTGATGCCCTTGCGAAGGTCTCCATGGCTTCTAGGAACGACGGTACTGACTCCTCGCCCTCCAGCTCAGTGTCGTCCACGAACTGGCAGGCTGTGACGCGGTCCTGGTCATTCGGCCGTAGTTTGACCCCCACATCTCGGCTCCGGAGCCAGCAGAGCAGGGCCTGGGCGATGAAGAGGTACAGCAGAGGCGCGAGGGGACACCCCTGTCGCACGCCTGCCTCCATCCCAACCAGCCTTGATTTAAAGCCATTGACCATGGCTCGTGCCTGCGTGTTGCTGAGCAGCAGCCGAACCCAGCTGCATAGCTGCGGGCCCGCCCCCATCGCCTCCATTGCAGCTAGCAAGAAGTCTCGGTCCACCGTGTCATATGCCTTCGCGAAGTCCAGGAACGCCAGGAGACCCCGGCGGTTCTGCTTGCAAAGGAGGTGGGATAGGTGGCGCAGGAACATCACACTGGCCCCGATGAGCCGTTTGGGGAGGAAGGCCGACTGCTCGGGGGTGATGATGCGCCCCAGGGCCGGCCCCAGGCGGTTGGCCAGTACCTTGGCGAGTAGGCGGTAGTCGGCGCATAGTAGCGTGATAGGGCGGTAGTTACCGGGTTGCTTGGGGTCGCCCTTCTTGTAGAGCACCGTGATAATGCCCTCCAGGAACCCGGTCGGCACCTGCCCCGTTGCGCCTATGGCGGTGAAGAGGCCCGCCATGGTGTTGCCAATGGTGGACCAGAATTTGCAGTATAGGTCGGCTGGGATGCCGTCCCATCCTGGTGCCTTGCCGGGCTGGCTCTTGACCAGTGCGACCCGTAGCTCCGCTGCTGTGATGGTTTTTGAGCCAAGCTGTTCATCTGCGTTTGCAGGGAGGCTAATGTTGGCCGCAGACAGCTGGGCAAGTACCTCCTGTCGGCCTCCTGTCGGGCTGTTGTTGTTGTTGTTGTTGTTGATGGGGTGTTACATTGATGTTGTTGTCTCGCCCGAGAAAGGACGAGCACCGGGGGCCCTGACCGGGCTGAAACACAGCGCAGGGGTGGGCGCGCGGCTCTATGTCCGTCTGTTCCTCCACGCGCGCCTCTATTTTATCCAATCCCCAAATCCCAACATATGACATATTTGGAATATCACAAAAAGAAAATATTGTTTGCAGGCAGTACAACGGTCAGTCTGTGTTTGTATTCGGTGTGTGAATTTCGAGAACCTCCTTAAAGCTGCCTCTATGTATCGGTGGAAGTTAGCACCGGCGCCGCTTCGTGGGACGAGGCTTAAGCGGGTCCGACCACAAATGCAACTTCCTGAGACGCTCACAGTGCAATCTCTGCTATCTGCAGCATTCTGTCAGCGGGAATTAGAAGTTCACGAACCGGAAGAGCTTGGCCTTCTGCCACACAGTGCATGCCTCTCTCACGCGTGTGCACGCTGTGGCATCGAGGAGTTAGGCTGGTACTGCCTGGAGAAAGTACGTGCCCGGTATCCACATTATTGCAACCGCCAACCCACTCACGATCGTGTGTCCTTGTTCAATAAATAGTGTTGCAAGCTAATCTGTAGGTCGTGTAAAATTCTGTCCTACTGCTGCAGCCTATGGCCTTCTGCATCCTTTATCTGACATTACATGATGTGTGGGACAGGGGGGCACACCTTCACCCACGGCCGCTACCCGGCGAAACCCTGCCTTCCCCGGTATTTCGGGGCACCCTCATCCAGTCACCCTAGCCGGCTTCTCAGTGGATCGCCCAGGTTCAGCGCCCACCACCAGCATCTGCCGGATCAATGGGAGTCCTGCTCACGCATTTTCGTGTGTTATTCGGATCCTTGCTTAACAGGTTCCTGACGGTGTTGAAGACGAGCTTCGTCACGAGACCTTCGATCCAACGGTCGAGGTCAGGCAGATCTGCAAGGGCCAAGGTACAAGCAGTGATCGTGTGGAGTACATAGAAAAGCGTTGCAAGCTCTCTCAAGTTGAACGGTGGGTGCTGAACGACTTCGGCGACTTTGCACAGCACCACTTCAGCAAGGTTTGGCAACGGCGCATGTTTCACATGCTGTCGGACCCAGATCGGCAACTGGCCCACGAGCTCGTAACCACAGCCGACTTCTCTGAGAAGCTTGTGCTTAAGTACCAGAACGAGCCTATGGCGATGCACTGGGCCGGTGTTACCATGTGCATCCTCGTCGTTGTGGTGTACATGATGGACAACAGCAGGCCCGGTAAGTTCCACAAATGATCTGGAAGAATGCAAGCTCGAGTGACGGCGCCTGTTTGGATTTCTTTACATATGGAATCTCTTACCCTTGTGTATACAGGTGGCGCTCAACACGTGGAGTCGCACTTCTTCATAGGGTGCGGTGACTGCAAGCAGGATGCATCCTACGTGAATTTGTCGTACAAATGCTCCTTGACGACATTACAAGCAGGTACCGCTGGGGACTAACTGGGGAAAATGGGACGGGAATCTTGTGTGTTTGTTTGCACTGCAATGACCAGTTATGCAGGTGTACACATGTGTGCTAGTCCCTGGAAGGCACTGCATGCTGCATGATATGTTACTGCGGCTGAGGTTGAGTGGTAATACGTAGTACGAGTGAGAAAAGACGTCATGCGTCTCACTCGTACTCGTACTACATTAGCACGCATTGCAGTAAGTGACTGCTGCCTGGGAACGTAAGTTAAGGTACATAAAATGGTTGCTGTACAGGTACCCAGGTGTCCGGAGCAACCTGAAAGTGTGGTTCAGGTGGTCAGACAACTGCTGCAGCCAGTTCAAGTGCGCGGACTCCTTTGGACTGCAAAGTGAATGGTAAGAAAGAACCTCACAGGCCGGTACCTGCATGTAGAGCTTGCATTCGTGTAAGTCAATGGCAGTTGGAAATAATGTGTTACCCGCGAGGTCCTCAACGTCCTGGATGAAGCCCTGGACATCTTCCTTACCCTCTGCACTTGGAATCACCCCGAACGCGATGGGGATGCCATTGTCGTGCTGGTCCACCACGAGCAAAGAAATGACCGGGTAGTTGTAGCTCGTGAGGCCGTACGTCGCATCCATGAGTACAATCCGGCCCCCGTACAATTTCAGCAGCTGCACCAGCCACGGTGTCGTGAGCGTGAGCCGAAAGCACGACCCGCGCTGCCGGCCCCCCTCCGGCTGCTGCAGTCACCCCTGCCGTCGCCGCCGCTGCTGCTGCTGGCATCGGGTTTGATTGGCTGGAAGCGTGGCCATGCTGTAAATTAGCTCGAGTGTTGCAGGGGGGTAGGATTGACAAGAAGAAGTCCCTGCATGAAGGGGAACTAGGCCTGCAATTTACCATGACATATATAAGCACCTGCTCGAAGCCAGAACCAATCATTCTTTGAAAATCACCACCGCTCGTACGGTATTGTGGTACGGTGGACGTTTATACTGCAGAAGTATGGCAGGATGTAACATGCAGAGCACAGTGAGCGCCAATGTCTCTGTTTGTGGCTGCTTGTAAGCTGACCGGTATTTGTGCTCGGCCGAAACGTGGTGTTTCCGTTCACTTTGGCTCATGGGCTCGTTGGGGTTGCGCTTCGGACCTCCTCCCTTGGAGGCGAGCTCTGAACCTCCGCCATAAGAGCGGCCACGTTTGGCTGCACCCTGCCGCACGGCTGCCGTACCAGCGATGAAGAATAGAGTTGAATTTGTGCAACGGGTACAACGGAAGGACCCGCTGTACCAGCGGCGTTTGCCGACCCCTGGCCGTTATCACCGTTATCATCTATTATAAATCAAGCAGTTAAGCTTAGCGCTGCTTTTGTTAAACAGATAAGGACGGTTAGAGTTTTCACAATCAAGTTGGTTGTATAACTTGCGAATAGCACCTGCACCGGGGTCGCTCGACGTCAATCATTATATAAATGGCGGAGCTTACACAAAATGGCTGCTCCGCTTGGCAGGATGTCATTTCCTACCGTATCGTTGATTACCTTCCGGCGAACGAACTTGTGTTTCTTCGCGAGGTTGACAAGGCAACTGCGAGTAAGCTAAGCAAATTCAAGACCATCAAGCTGTCGGAGCCATCCCCGCCGCACGCCTTCCGCCAGCGCTGGGGAAACCCGGATGCCTTTAGCGCATTTTCGGACTCCCAACGGCTTAACTTTCTAAAGCTGACCGCGGCAAGCGGCTCCCAAATGAACCTCCAGGTCGCCCTCGAAAACGCTGGTCAGGTAGCCAGTGCGGCGCTGCTCGAGGCCGCCGCAGCGGCCGGGCAGCTGGAAATTTGCAAGCTGCTACGGGATCACTACGGCTGCATGTGGCGGGATTGGCGGTTGGCCATTCCGATGTCTGCTGCGGCGAGGAACGGACACCAGCACGTCTTTGAGTGGCTGCTGGCTGCCGGCTGCCCCCTGCGCCTTGGCGATGTGTGCAGTGCCGCCCGCTGGGGCCAAGAAGACCTGCTTAGTTACGCTCTGAAGCAGCTTCACCAGCAGTACCTGCAATCCGACCATGATTTCCAAGAGCTGCTGTCCAGTGCAGCGGAAGGACTGGGGCTGGAGTCATTCCAGCGCCTGTACCAGCAGGTTCTGGAGGACCAAGCCCAGCCGCCTGCGCTCTGCGAGATCCAAAAGGGGAACATACTGGCTGCCGCGGCGGCCAGTCCCACACCGGACTGGCGGGCCAAGGTGGAGTGGCTCGAGGCCCAGGGCTATCCTCGTTCGGAAAAGGCAATCATTACAGCTGCTCGTGCTAGTGGTCCTGCTCGTGCGGGTGGCCCTCACGACATCGTTGGCCGCCTCCAGTGGCTGTGCAACCGCGGCTACACAGCAACCAGTGCAGCAGCGACCGCAGCTGTGGCCTACGGAAACCTGGACGCCCTAATCTACCTGTTTGAGGAGAAGGGGGTCCGCCCAGGTTTCATCCACCATTGGATTCCTATGCCCGACCTGGCTGTGACGAAGTACATGCACGCCAAGGGCTTGCCGATAAATGGCATCCACCTGGCATCAGATGCAGCCCGGAAGGGCTGCCTGCCCGTTGTGGTCTGGGCTGTGGAGGTCCTGCATATCACCCCGGATGCGAGTAACCACGGACTCCTTGGTCGTGCAGTGGGCAGTGGTAATTTGGAGCTGGTGGCATGGCTGGTGGCGCGGGGGTGGGGTGTGAACTGCCTGGGGCACTGTGGCTGGGATTATGCAGTCAACGGCGGCAATTTGCAGCTGATGGACTGGCTCGTGGAGAGGGGCTATTCTACTTCGGTGGGTCGGTGGGTCTGGGAGTCCTGGAGGTGGGGATGGGGATGGGGACGGCATGGCGGTAGAGAGGAGGCGGTCGGGTAGCCACCCAGGGGGGAGCCAACACCCGGCGTACTGCTCCTGCTCCGGGAGCTACTCCGGGGAAGGGGGGCCGCAGTGGGGTCGTCAGCACAGGAAGAAATGAGCCAAAGAATGACTTCTTCCTACATGCCAATCGGTTTGTGCCATTTCCGCAGCGGCAGCAGCAGCAGCAGCAGCAGCAGCAGTCAACCAACCCAGTCCTTTTTTTCTAGCAAGTGCGGTATACATACAGATAACTCTGCAATATTATTGCTTTGCGGTACTGCCACTATTCCCCCGTCACACATACAAGTACGACATATTGGTCTATTTTTTATTGGGCGAGGCCCCGGGCGCGAAGCGCCATTCGGAGGGCCGAGCCCCCCGGGTTCACTGCTGTCAGTCAGTCAGTCAGTCAGTCAGTCAGTCAGTCAGTCAGTGGCTAACATATCTCGCCCCGCAAAAAATAGCGTTTGAATGCTATATCCATTCTATATCGAAATGCCAAAGGAGACATTCCAGATAAATCGGAGCGCGACAAAGATAGCTTTCCATGGCTCCGAGTTTGACATAAAATTACATATCTCGCTCCGCAAAAGATCGAATGTAGAAGCTATATCTATTCTACATCCACCTGTAAAAGGAGAAATTACAGATAAATCGGAGCGCGAAGATAGCTTTCCATGGCTCCGAGTTTGACATAAAGTTACATATCTCGCTCCGCAAAAGATTGAATGTAGAAGCTATATCTCTATTCTACATCCACCTGCCAAAGGAGAAATTCCAGATAAATCGGAGCGCGACACAGATAGCTTTCCATGGCTCCGAGTTTGACATAAAGTTATACCACCTCAAAGCTATTCACAACAACAAGTGTGTACTCCAAATATAACGGCGTTCTTGTGCTTGCATTCCTATGCCGTACGGACTGCCCTGCGAATCAAAGAGGGAGCAAAGTGGCTGCACAGGGGCCGAGCCCCTTTTCGGCTTTGGAAAGCCGCCCCCCTAGTTTAACTACCGCGCGTACCCATTAGTAATGATAATTATATTTATAAGACTAATACTTATCCTCAAGTGATGTTGTTGACGTCTAGCAGTCTGTTAAGGTGACGACACCCACCCCACCTGCTTTTGTGCCCTACTCGTGTACACGTGTACATGCACAATATGTACGTGTAGCCATGCACACAGCTACCTTCGCCTTTGATCGATGAGGATCCCTACGTGTCCGCGGCGCACTATGGTGACCTGGCCGTGCTGAAGCACCTCCACAAGCTGGGCTACCCGCTGGCTCCGGACGTCCTCCTCCGGGCGGCGGAGGCCGGTGCACATGTGCAGGCTCTCCGTACCCTGATACAGCTGGGCTGTCCGCTGTACGACTGGGACGAGCTGTTGGAGGCGGTCAAGAAAGATGTCGACGGGAAGGTGGCCATAAAGTGGTATGACAGCAATATCGTTGCGGATGTTTTGAAGTCGCTCGAGCTGCTGAAGCAAGAACAAACGGCGCCTCAGCAGCAGCAGTAGCAGCAGCAGTAGCAACCCAGCAGCAGCAGGGATAGTGAGGTGTGAGGTAGGCTGTAGCGGCGGCTCGGGCTCTATGGCTGAGGATGCTTTGTGGCCTTGCTAGGCGTCTTTGGTGTATGTACGTTTGAGTTACACTGGGACATGGTTGAGACGTGACCTCTGCTTGCTTGCTTGGTTAATTGTTGGCTGCTATGTCCTGTTGTGGGCTTAGCTCACGCAGCTTAGCNTACGGAGAGCCTACAACCGGACATAGCAGCCAACAATTAACCAAGCAAGCAAAGCTGCGTGAGTGGATGCAGAGGCTCGACTTCGGCGGTCTTGCCATCTACGCTCGCACATACGTACGTACATACACCTCGTCGAATGTGGACGATGTTGAATTGAGGCACCGCTTCATGCAGCGAGGAGTGAGGGTGAGGGATGGAAAAAGGCTTAAAAGGGATATTTACTCCGGGGCTGTGAATGCTGGCGTGTGTTAAGGCAGGGGGCTCTAGCGGTGTGGGGGTTGCTCGGGAGTTATATGGACTTTAAGTTCGATGGTCTGGTTTGCCGCCAGGCGGTGGCGGAGGGAGGTTCATGTGCCCATACATCCAGGGGGAAACCGTAGATCCAGCAGCCGTTGGTCGTACCATACGACGGGCATATGAACACAGATGGCTACGACGCTATCCATGTGAGCGCGACGAAGTACGACATCCTCATAATTTCATGTCCATCATATTTCGGGCGGGCATATAAACAACTATAAAAGTTTTGTTGAGCGCCCACCAATTTAAATGTTTTAACTTGCTGGCATGATGCTTAACGCGGATGACCATGTCGGATGGAAAAGCAGGTTGCGGGGAGTGCACGGTACACGGAAATTAACTAATTGGTCTGGCAGAAACATGCTTTTGCCGTAGGGAGATATTGGTCCCGTCTGCCCGTCTGCTGCTCCATATCGCCGCTTCACACAGTCCACATGCCTTACCGTTTGGAGGAGCCAGCTGCGCGGGGCCGGTTTTCTGCGGATTGCCACAATATGTTCGGACCATTATTTGATGGTAGCTTTAATGAGGATGCGGGAAGCTGCCGGCTAGTGATGTGTTTTGAACGAGCGTCATTGAGCCCTGGCGGCTGCTTTTAAAACGAATGCGTAAACGACAGTCAGTCGAGGTGGTTGATTGCATGATCCAGAAAGAGCGGAATGGTGCAAACGCCGGTTTAGTTTGTTTCATATATCACGTCCCGGACTCCCGGTCTTGGCTAACGAACAACTGTAAGCCCGTCACTATCGAAGATCGAACGCGCGCACGATAGCGCACACTAGGCATTTTGCTTGTCTTGGTATCCGATGTAAATACTCGCACATATCTAACTGGTTTTACGTTGCTCTAGACTACGAAGAATCAAGCCCTTCCTCCCGGCAGGATGTCCTGTTCACTCACGCAAGCTATTACGATTCAGAGTCCGAATGTTGTGTAACCTTGAAGAAGATTTCTGTGGCTTCAATTGCCTGAACCCTTTCCAACGCGAGTCTCGGGTTAGTGCACAGATGCCAGAAAGAACATACTTGGCAAAAACGCTCAACTTTATATCTATACCTGATGTAATTACACAGTTACATCTAACATTGTAAGAAATCCATCTACGTTTGGGTCTCGATGGCAGACACTATGGGGCAGCTCAGGACTCAAGCCGGTGAGTTACCGTGGCGCCATGAAGCTTGGTTAAGCGGATATGTGAGATCCTTTGCGTTTCAGGGAGACCGTATAGATATGCAATAAGCATCGTCTGGAGTTCAATTAACAGCACGACATACTCGTGCTTTCGCATTTCTCCGCTGCTCCTTACGGTAACATAATCCTAGCTTACTGCGTGTTTATGTCTCATAATGGTGGCATGCACTGAAATGCGGTTCCCGTTCTCCTCCTCCTGGTCACTTTTGTGGTGTTCACCCGAGGGCCCTCTGACCCCCCTCCCTGGCCTCCCCCTGAACCCCCCGTTCCGTCCCTCCCATAGTGGGCGAGTGGGAGATGATGGGCGACTGTTTCTTCTCACGGGAAATGCTGTACGACATGTCCTGGGGCGACTTCGAGCTGCAGGATAAGCGGTACGCAAACCACACCGCGCCGGTTATGTCCGCGCCGCCGCAAACGGCCACATCAGCCGTAACACTTATTATTAATCTTATACTTACTTTCTCCCTCTCTCTTTCCCCTCTTCCTCTCCTTCTTTGTCCTCCTCGTCCTCTTCATCAGCCTGGCCTGTGCCCCTTACGGCGGCCCCATCGCTGCCATCCGCGACGAGCGACGTGCCGTGCTTGTGACCCACGGGTCATCAGCAGTTGCGGCAGGTGGCGGCCTAAAGCCGGTGCTGCGCACCTTCACCGCCGCCGGCGCCTCTCTGGGTGCGTGTGTGTGGGAGGGGGGCCGGCTGGTCGACTGGGCCTGGACGGACGAGCAACAGCTGGCGGTGGTGGACGCCAAAGGCAAGGTGAGCGGGGCCCGAGTGTATGTATGTATGTATGTGGAAAGGGGGGGGAGCAGGGGCGGTTATGGCTGTCAACAGGCTAACCGCCAGCAGTGACGTCAGCGACGGGTAGTGGTTGAAGTGGTTGGAAGTTTGGTACGTTTGGCAGCTGCAATTTCGGTGACGTGATCCCCATCCGTTTGTGGTTCGTCTTCCCTCCCACCCTCCCTCTCCGGCTAGCCCGACTAGGATAGTCGGGTTGGTCGCGCGTTTTTTGGGGGTTGGGAGGAGCACTTGCTTATCACCAGCTTTTTATTACCAGCAAATCAGCTACTTCTCCAGGCCAGCAACAAACTTTATTCCACCTTTACGACAGCAGTGATGTACTACTTCTCCGCCGCCTCTACACCTACTTTTCTACACCTACTTCTTTACGGCTTGGCATTACTGCTTTCTCTGCTGTTTTAGTCCTGGCGGCGTAGGTAGGTAGTTTTTCCGACATCAGATTCACTACGTCATCCCGAGGTCGCCGTCTTCACGGACGCCTTTCGGTCAGTTTAACGTCTGGTACACTCTTGCCCTGGCAGCAGCTTCACTCGTTTGTGGTTCGTCTTTCCCACCGTGCCCCCCTCCCTCCCACCCACCCTCCCTCCACATCCGTACGCCAGGTGACCCTGTTCTCCCCCTTCGCGGAGAAGATCCGGGAGTTTAGTTTCGGAGCGGCGGTGGAGCGCGACGGTGTCGCAGCCGCCAAGGTGTACGGCAGCGGTGTCGTGGTGGTCACGGAGCCGCGCCAGGCGGCGGCGGCGGGGGATGCGACGTCGGCAGTTGAGAGCTGCGAGATTTGGGTCGTACAGAACCTCCGGGATCCCAAGCCAACACGCCTCAAGTCGCCTTCCAAGGATTCCTATCGTACCGCCGCCACCGCTGCGGCGGCAGCCAAGAGCACTGGCGGCGCCGCCGGCGGCGGCGGCGGCGGGGCCTCTTTCCAGCCTGCGAGCCTGGGCATCATCGGCCTGGGCGGTCTGGGTCGACCCGGGTTGCCGCAATGCCTCGCGGTGCTGGACCCCCAATTTACCCTGTCGCGGGGCGTTGAGGTACGGCAGTGTGGCGGTTGACAGTTGGGAATTCGGTTAAGGGTTCCAAAAATGTAGGTTGGTTTCTTTCTTCTGACACGGCCGGGGTGTGTCCGAAGTGTGGGTGGTCGACAGTGTTTATTTTTTGTAGTAATATATCCTAAATAAGTGATAAATCGGGATTTGGGGCTTTTAGAGGAAAAGGAATGGATTGAGGCCGGCTCGTACATTTTCATTACTTCATCCAAAAATGACGGACAGCTCTTTGAGTTTAGTAAACACATAGTATCTGAAGTTATAGAGCCGCCGTGAGGTGGGCCATGGGCGGCCGTAAGGAGGTCACGCCCGTGAGTCAACGCGGCATAGCAGGGGGTATATGGCAGGTCCACACACTGCAAAGTACACGCAAGCCAGGGAATCCAACCTCGGACAACCACCAAAGCAGCAAATACGCTAGCAGCAAAATACTCCTGGCCTCTCTACCCTCTCACCCCTCCCTGCAATCCCAAACAAACCGCCCAAGCAGGTCTTCGTGGTGGTTGGCGGTTCGTTATGGCAGTTGGACGAGGCCTCAGCTACCGACCACTACCCGCCGCCGCTGGTGGCAGCGGGTGGTGCCGTGCATCTGGAGATGTCCCCCGACGGCGCCTGCGTGGCGCTATACACCGTGCGGGACAACCGGCTGATGGTCATGTCGGCCGGTGAGTGGGGGGTTTGGGGGGTTGGGGGGGGGGAGGAGGAGGTTGAGGGCAGTTTCTCCAACCCACCACCACCACCACCACCACCATCACCACCACCATCTCGAGCTGCGCACCGTGACGTCACCACTGTGTCCACTGCTGGGTGGTGAGCACCAACCTGCTAACCCTGAGTAGGCAGCTTCTTACTCCTCCCTGACCTCCCCCACTCGCTCATCCCCCCTTCCGCCGCCCCCGCCTCACCCCGCCTCCCCCTCCGCGTACGATTCCCCCCCCGGCCCCCCGCCCCGCCCCACCACCCTAAACAGACCTGAACAGGACCCTGCTGGAGTTGGAGACCGGGCGGGACAGCACGCCCCCTGTCGGAATGCACTGGGTGGGATCAGATGCCGTACTGCTGACGTGGCCGGATACTGCCGTACTAGTTGGGCCGTACGGCGACAGCGTTCAGTGGAGCTTTTCTGAGGATATCATGGCGGTGCGTGTCTGTCTGTCTGTCTGTCTCTGTCCGTCTTGCCCCCCTCTGGTGTAATCAGGCCACATGACCCGGTGTGTGTATTTGTTGGGGGTTGTGAGGGGGGAGATGAGGGCGGGGATGAGGGTTTTTTTACCACTGACGCAACGAGCCCTTCCCTCCCGCCGCCCTCCGGCCCTGCAGGTCATTTCCGAGCTGGACGGCTGTCGGCTGTTGCTGGGTCGCTCCTCTCAGCTGCTACTGCGGAGGGTACCGGAGTGCTGTGTGCAGGTACGGCAAGGAAGGGGAGGGGGAGCGGGAGGGGGAAATCGTCGGGGCACAAAAACAAGAGTGGAATGAGAGGGTGACGGGGAGAGAGGAGGGTTGTTGATGATGATGATGATGATGATGATGATGATGAGGAGGAGGAGGAGGAGGAGGAGCAGGCGACTCGTGGGGTAAAGAGGCATCACCAGAATTACAACCCCCCCACCCCCCGCCGGCGCAAACTGCCGGAGATGACGTCACTGTGCCTCACATACACAGGGGATGTTTTTGGTTCCTTCCTCCGGAAGGACCGTAAGTCCATTACCCGCTTCGTTTTTAACCCCGTACGCACATACACACGCACGCACTCTCTTCTTCCCCCCCCACATACACACACATACATACAGACACGTACACTCCGTACACGGCGGGCTGTTGTCTCCCCGCCCCCGGGACCCCAGGTGTTTCGACCCGGTGCCACAAGTCCGGCGGCGCAGCTGTGGGACGCACGTGCGCTGTACGACGATCAGAACCCCCGGTGCGATAAGATCCTTCGGAACATACAGGTAGGTGTACGGCAAGGGCAAGGGGGGGTGAGGGAGAGCGGCGGGGTGGGGTGGGGAATGTACGAGGTGGTTGGAAAACAGTACAGACTCCCACCTTGTTGCGCTCTTTCCCCCTTCCCACCCCACCCCCGGGTATCAGCCCGCTGAGGGACGTGGCTTCTCCCTACGCCGCTCGGAATCGCTGGCGAAAGGCGATTTCCATTTGGTGTCGTACTTTGCCGTATTTTGTCGTATCATGCCAGGTGAATGTGTGTGTGCCCCTCCCCCCCTCCTCCTCCTCCAGGACTCGGGTCCGGCCTTTTTGCCCGCCGCGGTCAGTACCTGCATCCAAGCTGCGGGACACGACATCAACCCGGTACGACAAAGGGCCCTCATGCGGGCAGCGGCATACGGCAGGCCATTCTGCTCGCCTGATTTCCCGCGCCAACTGATGTACGGCGTGGCTTGCCGGCTGCGCATCCTTAGTGCGGTTCGCGACCCGCGGGTCGGTTTGCCCCTCACTATGAAGCAGTTGGAGGCGCTTAGTTTGCCAGTGCTGGTGGGCAGGTGG